GATTGATGAAAAGGGGGAAAGGCAAAATGAAAGTTCTGATGTGGCTTTCCCTCAGCATTGTTCTACTTCATGAGATTAGTTCATTTTTTGAGGCGAACTACAGAGATCCACTTTACCTTTACCACTTTTCATCGTTCATTACTCGGATAGAAGTTGAATGAGTATGGCACAGCTGTGCTCGGGGATAGCGATCGTCACAAATGTTTTATTTTTTATTCGTACTGCAAAGGCTGTTTTACGTTTTGGGACATGTCGTATGACAACGGCAGTCGGCTACGTGACAAGAGAATCGTAATTCGCCGCGCTGATCGCGTGCGACGTCGCGCCAGCTAATGAGGATGGTTACAGGTCGTAGATGGCGGCAACAAGCAATGTAGAACGAAAAGTCATAAGTATCTATAGTTTCGTAGCCCACGACCGGTGCTTCAGTCGTCAGGTTAACAGGAGTCAAGAAAACGCCGCCATCGCCGCGCACGGTAGAGCTGCAAAATACCTTTTGCCCGTCTCCCTCGTCACAGTATAACGTTTTCTGACGCGCCAGCCATTTGCGTCCTACAACATGCTTCGGTGCTTCAGTACCATGTGGTAGCAAAGGTCTATGCAGACGTTATCGTTTTATGATAAAAATCCGCTACATGTGTTAGGACCTGTTGAATGACGTGCAACGATACCTTAAAAACCACTAGAACGCGTCTAAGGGCCTAAGAACTTCCTACGCCACTCCGGCAGCTTTTTTTTGGTGTGAGGTGGCAGTCCAAGCAGGCAGGCGTTTTTTTGTCATTTTGTCTTGTTGTTGATTTTCTTTCTTTTTATTATTTTTATATTTATTTTATTTTTTTAATTTTATATTTTTGATATTTTATACTTCTTGGTGCTATAGTAATTCGGAGTGTTAGCATCCAAGGATGGACATATGGGCGCTCATAACTTTGGAGAGGATGGGGGAGGGAGAGGGGGCACCCTGAAAGAATTCTCAATGTATGTCATTGTCTTCGTTTTCTTTTTGCCTTTTTGCAATCGTAT